AAACAATTTAAAGCCATGTGTTTTGATTATGTGGCATTGGCTATATTCATTCATTCATTCATTTATTTTCTCAAAAACCATGTATATTGTACAACAGGTACATATATACATATTTGATATAATTTTGGACGAACAAAAAATTACATGAGGACAGACGGTGTAAAAATTTTGGAGATAAATATCCACAATGTTCGTTAGAATGCTGGATCAGTACTTGCATCAATTTCAGAATTTTATAATATTTGGATGTATATATAGTATTTCTTAAATAAAAAATCTTCTCAAATACTAATTTAAAATTCATTACATTCCAGTAAATAATGAAATTTATCTCCTATTTGATTATATTAACATAAATTGTACACTCTTTCTTTTCTTTGAACATTATTCCATCTACCTTTCTCTATTGAAAGACGATGGTTACTTGTTCTGAATTTTGAAAAGATATTTCTAAATGTTCTTGGTAAAATGTTTAAATATTTTTCACATTCAAACTTTTGTTTTAAACATTCTTCATTCATATCACTATACCATTTCTGTTAAAACTGGTGTTAGGGTTTTTGATTCATTGCAACAATTTATTTAGCCTATGAAAATTGTGCTTAGTCCAAATATTACACAGCCCCGTTGTATTAGGAATTTTCTGTATGAAAGATAAGCATGGATTACTATTCCCATTTTTTGTGTATTAATTACACAATTTTGGTTTTATTAACATTAACATGGAGTTTCCATGTTTTGCAATATATTGAAAATTCAATAATTGATGTTGAGAAACATTTGCAATTTCAGACAAAATAACCGTATCATTGGCATAAAATAATATGAACTGTTTCATAAAAATGGTATGATCATGTTCGATCTCTTTAGAAGAATTATCATAGGCGTTAACTTTCTTTTTGTGAGAAAATTTTCTTAGTCATTGATGTACAATGAAAATAAAAAAGGTCTTGAAGATTTTCACCTTGTCTTACCCTGATATTGTAGTTGAAAAATTCATAGAACACATCTTTTATATAAAATAATTATTTTTAAAAATCAGTATAAATTACATTTTAATCCCTGGACAGTTTTTAAAGGTTGATATGCTTGTTAAAAGTAATGTTCAATAATATGAGAACATAAGATGTGGGTGTGTGAAGACCCTAAAACACACTGCGGATTTTTGACATTACATAATTCCAATGCTCTTTTCCAGCCCATTTTCCAAATTCATTTCAACCCCAATGTCTTTTTCGATTTCATAAAGTTAAGATTTATATAGCGGTCTATACTAGTACTAAAATCGTACATTAGTACACACCATAAACTTCACACTCGATTGATCTTGTGTCAGTTACATGAAACACATTGAGATATCGTTACACTGAAGAATGACATGGGGTTGTGTGCACCAGAATATAAGTTACAAAAATATAAAACATTTAATTTGCTTTACAAAATTAAATTTTATAAAATATATACTATATATCACATGATCAAAAGATATGTTTGTGCATGTAAGAGCATCTGTATATTTGACACTCCCATATCAACCATTAAAAAAAGATTGTCATGACACAAAAATCTACTAATTTGTAACAAAAATATTGCTTGTTACATTTTGACTGTTCTGACTAGTGGTATACCTAAAGTTTCTAATAAATATAAATTAACATTTATATATACATTGATTACCATGTTTACAGTTTTGGATGGTTGATTTGCTTAAAAAATCGTCAATTATAACAAAGTGGTAATTAATTTTCTAGTTATTTCAATAAAGTTATAAACAAACATAATTAATATTTTAAGTTGTTTCATGCAACACTTATTCTATTCTTTAAAAAAACAATCAGGAGATAGATATTTGCTGTTTTCGAGTGGTATATACTTATCCATTTTTAACAAAAAACCGTATGTACAATCTGTTTTCTTTACATTTATATATTTTACATATGTGTCCTTATCTAAAACATGTAAAAGTACTATACCAATGATCATGTTTAAGTCAATTTAGTTCTGTCTTTAAGAAAAGTGGTATCTGCATGGGCAATCGAAACCATTTGAACCCATGTATTTTGATTGATAAAACATGCATGTAGCGTTGACTATAAAGATTCCTTTTTAGGGTTATTAGTTGTTTAATGGAGTAAAGTTATATGATAAAAATAATCAATTGAATGACAAGTACTACTCGTAAATTCTGAAGGACTATGTATCGTATGTACATATATACAAATCTTTGTGTATCCTCAAATTTCAAAACAAAATATTTCGATAATTGAAAACTTAATAACTGTTTCTCTGAATTCAGAGATTTATTCATACTGTGAATATGTTAATATTATCATCACAAGTTATTTTTCTCCAACACAGTACAGTATAAAGACAGTAACTAATTTCTAGTTTCTCTGTCGACGTCATTGTCCTTGAATTTGCTTAAATAATCTTGCATCAAGGCCAAAATGCACATTGGTTATTAGTAACCCCAGGGGGTTTACAATTCTAATAAAAGAGAACATATTCAGGTAGCCCTCATACATTAATTCATGAATTTTCTGTTACGATTGTTATGATGAGGGCATCGTGGTAGCTGTAATATGTTGGCAGCCTCTGCACTTCAACTTGTATGCCTTCAGATGCATATACATGATCGAGAATGGTACTGTTTTCTGTTGTGTAGAAATTGACAAATTGCCTGAAACCTTGTTTCATCATGAAGCTCTGAATAGGACCTGTAGATTTTGCATCTTCATTGAAATCTCCAACGAGAATTACATGTTTGTTACCTAATTTATAATATTCTATTAGATTATGGAGCCGTTCCAGAAAGTAAGAGACGTTGAGAGTACTTGGGCGATACAAAGTAATAACAACCATATCTCTTTCGACTAAAGTTACTGCCATACCCTCTACATTCTTTTCTGGCAGTTGACTGACAATTTTCCTATTCGGACTTTGATTGATGTATAGTGCCACACCTCCTCCTTTTGCATCACGGAGTTTTTGTACTTGTTCATTGCTTTGATCATATGCATCTCTTCTAGATGTATGATACAAGGAAAATCCATCCATATCAAATTGTGCTAAACTTTGATCAGATCTTAACCATGTTTCAGTCAGGCATATGAATTGTGCTCCCTTGAAACGAAAGTCGTTCTGCAAATCTGCAAAATGGCCATTTAAACTTTGGACATTATGAAGAATAATGCTATTCGAGTCCAATAGTTTCGTGGGAAATTTTGTAAGCTGTACTCTGAGCATTTCAGCTAAGGCAATTTTCACTTCTGAATCAGCATACACTTTTTTCTGCAAGGCTTCAGCGTTATCGGTTTCAATAAATAATCCATTTTTCGATGTTACTCTTGTCAGAGCAACATATGCTTGTCCTGGTGAAAACATTCGGTCTAAATTGACCACCACCTTTTCAACTGTCATTCCCTGAACCTTATGAGCTGTACATGCCCAGGATAGCCTTAAGGGGAACTGATGTCTCACAACTGTCTTTAATTTCTTTTCAATAATCTCTTCCTGAACTCTGTGAACTAAGACGCTTCCTTTCTGTATTGTTTTACCAGATTTCTTACCAACATTCTTGTTGTCAAATTTTACTCCTATCGCTGTAATATTGGTTGAGTTTTGGTCATACACAAAGTGAGTTATGTATCCCATTACTCCATTCACCAGCCCATCTTCTACATCACAATTTCTTGTTAACATCACCCTTGCATTTACAGCCATAAGCAGAGTACTGCTGAGATTATCTGTTTTTAAGCTTCTAAGCGGTTTCTCTCTTAAAACCAGCTTTCCGCTTGTTGCATTTTTTTGGAAATCCTTTGCTTCAATCTCTTTTAGATCTTTGCAGCTTTTCTTCAACATTGAGAGGTTATAATTATTTACTTCATCATTTGTTGGGTACACATGTAGAGCATCTTCTGGTCCCTCTCTTATACAATCATGTATGAGAGCTTGTGCATCACATGTTAAAGGCTGGTCTGCTTCGCGAATCCGAAGAGAGTTCAAAGCGTTCGCAAAGGGTATATCTTCCCGCTGCCTCATTATTTCATTCAGTTCCACAACCTTGAAAAAGTCTCTCCAATAGTCAACAGGATATGAGGTATTTTCTTTAAATAGCCGTTCATCTTTCCGTTGTTTTACGGGTGGAAGCTGATAAAAGTCACCCACAGCAATAATGCTTACACCGCCAAATGGCTCTTTGCATTTCTTTATTTGGACCAGTCTTTCATGAATGTAATAAAGAAGTTTTTTGTAAACCATTGAAACTTCATCTATTACGAGAATCTGCAAGTCTCTCAGGTGCATCCTTATTTCACTTAGACTCTGTTCTTTCAGAGGTTGGTATGGTAATGGCAAATATTTAGTCAGGGAAAACACATGATGAATGGTGTTTCCACCTATGTTGAATGCAGCTGTTCCTGTGAAAGCTGTAAGGAGCACTGATACACTATCAGGTGAAGACAATGTCCGAGAAAATAATCGAGATGCCTCATATTCTATAGCCTTGATGACATGGCTCTTTCCTGTTCCTGCTCCTCCAGTTATGAAAATATGCAGCGGATCTGGATTGTCCCCAGCAACTTTGCTTAAACACCAGTCACGTATGTGGTAAAATATCTCCTTCTGAGTTTCATTTAGACTTTGCAGGATTGGTAAAATATCATTCTTAGAATGCTTATTTTGTTGAATTTGAAAGAGCACATCATGATTTGTCTGACTCTGTATATCAGGAATTGCTTCTGGAAGATGTTCGTCCAAGGTGTTCACCTTATTTTTTTCTATAGTATTTTGCTGTCTTACTGCTTCTGACTCTGGACAGAGAGTTGCCCAAGCATCTTCAGGTTCTCCGATGTTTTCGAACATCTCTTGAGCTTCCGTGATTACATCTTCATTCCTTGCATATTGTGCATGGTGCAAGTCAACTATTGTTTTGACAGCCTGGACATTTCTTTTTCCTTTGATTCTAACGTGACCGTTTTCATAAAATGACTCGTATAATTCAAACCCAGGGGGTTTTAATTGTGCTTCATTCCAATGTGGCAGAAAGAGCTGTAATAGAGACCGATAATATTTTTCCGGCATTTTTTCAGCATTGAACCTCGGATACCTTATTACAGCTGGCTTTGTCCGTGTCCTTTTTTGGATGTATCCTTTTGAATTTTGCAATTCGAACACATTTTCATTTTGAGTTTTGGGAACCTGAGACTTAGCTAACACCCTGTAAACAGAACAGAAATCTGCTAAGCACATGTCATGAAAAAGTGGTTTGTTTGGTCGGTTTTCGTATCTCTCTATAATATTTGTCATCCAAATCTCGTTTTCATCGTCATCTTCATCATTTTCCTTTTCGACCCCTTTTTGTCTTTTTATTTGAGAGAGTGGTTTACTTAGACGGGTCGGATTTTCACCTACTGGTACAAACACAACTTTCCTTGAGCATTCTTTCATCTTTAAATTGCACACTCGATACACAGCTTCCTGTGCACTGACTTCTCTATGGTGTAGATAAGCTGATCCAATTTTCTTTAAAGTATTACGGGCATCAAGATTTCCCTCCTCTGCCTCTATCTTCGTTTGCTTCAGTAACATCCCCATTTCTCTTTCAGACTTTGAAATGTAAGAAATAATGTAAACAATGCAACTAAATGGATCTAAAACAAATTGAATGTCCATGTTTGCATCCCAACATTTTAAAAGGCAAGGATTGTACTGATTAATCCAAAGTTCACATGGATTTCTTCTAAGAACGATAGATCTTTTTTTCGTTAGCAGCCTATGGGCTTCTTCGTACTGTTCCTGAGACAAAGACAAGCTGCTGAAAATTTCTTCTGAACTTTTACTTTCATTTGATTCGTTTTGCACTTCTTCCCAGACACGCAGTAAAATATCCTTTGCATACGATTTCCTTGATTTAGTATCTTCGTTATTTTCCATGTCGCCTTCTTCACAAGGTGAATTTATAAATGTACTTTGGGAGGGGGGTCGAGGAAAATTAAATCTGCAATCTGTTCCTTTTTTTCTACAAGATTTTGAATGTTTTCGGCTGTGCTGTTGAAATGCCAAGACAATATTCCTCAACTCTGGATCCTCGAATTCAGATGGTACTACACAAGATACATATTTGTCAATGAAATCACATACAGCTTGTTGCCCATGCTCGTCAAGTTTAGGTGCATTTTCAACCCAATACAAACAATGCATGTGGGGTGATCCTCTCTGCTGGAATTCTACTCTCTGAAAAAAATCTATTATTTTTCCAATCGGTCGGGTGGAGAGAATATAACATCTCTTTGAAGACGTGAACCGATGTATTCAAACATCCTAGCAACTGTCACAGGATTCTTCCTTAAAACCTCATTTTTTTCTGACCAGTCCAACATTTCTGGATCTCTGTTATCATTTTGTTGTCTTAATATCGTTTTAACTGCGTCATTCCATCTATGTTCCGCAGCGGAGAAGGAGCAAAACCAGGTTGGAATTCCTAACTGTCGGAGCATTGCAAAGAGATCTTTTTGAGCTGATGACCAGAATGCTGGCGTTCCTCTTATCGGCTGCATAAACCTTAATGCCTCATCATTTCGTAGCAACCTTGAAAGAGTTTCTGGATCTTGTACCATGCTCGAAGTAACTAAATTCCCATTGGACATCTTTGAGACAGATTTTCGAACTGAAATTTGTGTTTTTTCTATGACCTGATTCAATTCCGACATAAACTGGCTGAAGAATATGTAATTGCTATCTTTTGCAAATCTACCATCCGCATGCATTAACCTGTTATTGAAATATCTTGACAGTGTTATTCTTATATCTCTGTCTTCATTCCAAGTAAATTTTCCACTAGGGAAATGACAGGGAAACGCTTTAGCCTCATTTCCTGGTTCCTGCAACATCCGCACAGGATTTTGTCCTTCTCCAGGCGCAATGTTGTAAATGTCATCAAAATAATGGTCCAAAACCTCTTGGGCAATATCCACAGGCTGCAGACAAGTATCAATTGCTATTTGTTGGTGTTCATCATTATCATCAATGGTTATGTCATTAATTTCTTCTGCTGTATTTTCCTCATCATCAGTCTCAACATTCCAGCTTCTATTTACTTTTACATTTTCGTACCACTGATTATTTTGCTTTAAAAAACAAAGAGCTGCAAATATGTGGCTTGGATTTACAAACTGGTACTCAAAGTATCCTTTGTAGCTAAGCTTTCTTTTCAGTTTAACCCTCAATAATAAATCCTCATCATGATTCAGTGGTAAACTGGTAGTTTTTTTCAAATCTGAAGGTACGCAAACAACAGGTCCATGTATATTTCTTTGACCTCCTTGGGGAAGTGCCATGACCTTCATAAATGGAATGTGCAGAGCAATTAAATGCTGCTCTAGACTATTCATATTGGCCAATTCCTGTGGTATATCCTCAAGATACATCGCATTTACTGCTGCCTCTGCTGGAATATTACCACTCATAATTTTTCTATGGCATGTATAACATATCCACAATCTTGACCTGGTACAACCTTCTGGACAGGATTCCATGCACTCATGCAAATATTTCTCTTGTACACACAAACTCGAAACTTGTTTTGAGCGTTCATTTTTACTATAAAGTTGCTCATCACACTTTTGTACCTGATTATCAAATAACAATCGATGACAGCAGCAGCATACATAGTCGATGCCTTTTCGAGTATTTTCTTTAAATAATTCGAACACTGTTTCTTCATCTTTTAACTTTTTCTGTTTTGCTTTTCTCTGTTGTTTCACCGTCCTCATCTTCGATTGTTTTGCTTCAGAACTCAAGTGATACCGTTTCTTAGCACCTGCCTTAATTTTTGACCTAAAACTGTTATCTGTGCTGTATTTTCTTGCTTTAGATGTCAGAATGTTTTTTCTGAATATCTTGTTTGCACTATATCTCTGTGTATAACAAACTTGTCTCTTATATTCCTCATCAGTTCTATACATTTCCTTAGTTCTCTTCTTCAGCTTTTCTCTGTAGAGTTCATCATCTTTGTATTTTTCTTTCCCTCTTTTCTTCTTCTCTTCCCTGTGTCCACTGTCAGTTCGATATTTTCTCGAGTTTATCTGCTTCAAATTTTTTTTATGGATAGGATCAGTCTTGTACTTTTGGATGCTCCTAAATTTTACATCTTCTTGGTGTGCTTTGTTCAAAGCATACTTTTTAACACTTGCTTCTTTTGATTTCTTTTTACTCTCTTCATTTCCCGCATATCTGGCTTTGCTTTGCAACTTTGTTTTGCTACGGTGAAATGCATCATTTTCATATCTCTCCTGATTTCTAGCTTTGACGGTAGATTTAAATTCATAATCTTCCTTATATTTGATGTATGCAGTTAACAATTTCTTGTTTCGAAATTCAGCATCTTCTTGATACTTTCTTCTCATTGATTGTTTTCGCTTTTCCACTGGATTTGGTTTATTCATTTCTGAGGAAATTTGTCTCTTTGCTTGCATTCTCCCACGATTTCGTTCTTTTTTAATTGAATATTTTGGAGCAACTGCTCTTCTCTCAAACAATCCTTCACTTCTCATCTCTTCATTTTTATCACAAACATCAAGAACTACATTGTAATGATTCTGTGCTTCATGATTTAAATAAATTGCACCAGTTTTCTTTGTCATGGATGAATTCTTTCCCTTTAGAGAAAATTTCAACCAATGGTTTCTGGTATATGTGTAAATATCAATATTCATCAAATGGCATACTGCTATAATTTCTAATTCTGTTGCCCACTTTCCATTTTGTGACATTGAAGACAATGCTAGATGTTGCATAACAGTACTTTCTCCAGTTCTCAAAAATGGTTTGAACACACCTTCATTTTCAATCATGTGCTGACAAACTGCACTGCGGATGACATAATGGTAGTCCTCTGAATTTGTCAGATTATAGGAAACAGCTCTAAAAAAGCAATTGCCATCCCCAAATATTTCCTTTTGAGAAATGGGTTTCTCAAGGTCCTT